GAAAAGGGGTGGGTCTAAAGACTCTAACGATGATTGCCAGGTTGCTGGCCCTATGGCTGCAACCTGGGGAAGCTACCTGATTGCAAAAAGCATGGCTTAAATAAATTCATACAAACTAGCAGTGCAAAAAAAAGAAATTCAAATCTCCTGGCACTGCCATGCCAAGACAATGAGATAAACCCCCAAAACTGACTGGGTGCAGTATAGATCTGAGATTAAAAATTAGAAATGCCCCTTGCAAACTGCAAATTCCAGGTTTCTATATAATATTGCCATGGCAATTAACATTGGAATCATGGCATCAGAACTGTGGAAAGACCCCTGCTTTGATATGAAATGAAATAACACTATGGTCACACTACTGTTGAGATGCTCCCTTGATTTTTCAGCCTTTTCCTATTTTACCTTTTAAAGAGCTCCATTATAGTAACCAACTTTGGAAAAATTCAAAAAGGTTGAAAACTTGCCTAACAAAAATGTTTTGTACCCATTCACTTTCAGATTCTATCTACGTAGAATCTGCCAGCTACCTTCAGGACTTTCACAGGAAGCTGATGTTTTTAGAATCCAAATTGTATCTCAAATTATATGCTTTTCAGCAAGGCCGAGTCCCAGTACTGACTTTGTGAAATTAGAAACAGTGTATATTTTTTGTCACAGTACTCACAGCTAAGATGATGGTTTCATATAAAAGTCATGGAGTTCACCAAAGTTACTGGAGAACTTTAAACTGCTTACTTTAACTTTTAGGAACAAGTTGTTAAGATGAATTCCTCTTTCATTGTATTCCTGAAAAGAGAGTGCATTTGGAAGGCTGTATCTGTTGGCATACATGATTAGGAACTGAATAAAGTTGCCTTCCCACAAATTTCCCTTACAGCTTCATTAATAAGTAAATAATGTCTTCAAAGCCTGTAACAAAACCTCTTTCACCTCTGTGTAACCCAATGTTCCATCCTTGTCTCTTCCAAATAAACCAATCAAAGAGAAATCTACATCAGTTGCCATATAGAATGAAAGAAATATTTTTTAAAAACCCAGGAGAGGGCATGGTTTACAGACACAAATATTTGGAAGCATCCATATAAGTAGTGGGTGGGGGAGCTGTTGCAGATTACAGATGTCCAAAAGGGACCCACAGCCCACATATGGTGCAGACATCTGAGAGATAAAGCAATAAATATTGCAATGTCTTGAAACATTTGCTGTGACAGAAAAAACAGAATTTTCTAAAACAGCTCCTGCCCTTTCTTCTCTCAAGAACCAATTAAAAACTTTCCTGTTTAGACAGGGCTTAAGTGAAGGAAACTAAGCTGGAGTGATAAGAAACACCATAATATTATGGACTAGAACAAAGTGCAATATAATCTGACATGATGCCACAAGAACGTGAATGTATATTATTGTTGTTTTAAACTGCTTGTTTTATTATGTTTTATTCTTATTATCAATGTTTATGAATTGTTGTTTACATGATTTTAATATGATGTAAGCCGCTTTGGGTCCTATGAGGGAGAAAAGCAGGATATAAATAAATATGATGATTAGGATGACGATGATGATGATGATGATGATGATGATTATGATTATGATGATTATTATTAGGCTCCTTCTTTGGAAGCTTGGGCCACCAACACTGCCTCACCAACATTTTATTGTTTTTGTGAGCCCCAAATGTCCTGCACCTTTATTATCATGACAGAGGCTGGATGGCCATCTGTCAGGGCTGCTTTGAATGCAATATTCCTGCTTTTAGGCAGGGGGTTGGACTGGATGCATCATCAACATCAACAGCTCCTTGGAGCAAAGAATTTTTCCAGATTGCCTTAAAGAAGCAGTGGTCCACCCTCTCCTGAAAAAACCAAGCCTTGATGCTGCCATACCTAGTAACTATCGCCCAGTTTCAAACCTTCCGTTCCTGGGCAAGGTGATTGAACGGACAGTGGCGGGGCAGCTACAGCAATTCTTAGATGAGACTGCAGGTTTTGGATCCCTTTCAATCAGGCTTTCATTCAGGTCATGGGACAGAGACTGTCTTGGTAGCTATTACTGACGAAATTCGTTGTCAGTTAGACTGAGGCGGATCCGCACTATTGGTACTCATTATTATTATTATTATTATTATTATTATTATTATTATTATTAAACTTTATTTGTACCCCGCTAGCATCTCCCGAAGGACTCGATGCAGCTTACAAAGGCCAAGGCCTCAATACACAACATAACAATACACTTAAAGCAAATTAAAACAGTTAAAGCAGTATTAAAATAACAAAACCACAAGCAATAAACAATACATCAAACAGGATAAAACTAGGTCGGGCCAGAGTAAAGGGTACAGGATTAAAAGTGCTGATGTGACAGGTGATATGTAGGGATTATAGGGCAAGTGCAGTGTGCAGTGTGCGGCAATCTTAATTCTAATAAAGTGCTTCTGGTACTTGGGATTGGAGATTTCCTAATCGGGAAAGGCACATCGGAACAGCCAGGTCTTCCAATTCTTTCTGAAGACTGCCAATGTCTAAGATCTTTGGGGAGAGAGTTCCAGAGATGGGGGGCCACCACAGAAAAGGCCCTGTCTCGTGTCCCCACCAAACGTGCTTGCGACGCAGGTGGGATCACGAGCTGGGCCTCACCAGATGAGCGTAGTGAACGCGTGGGTTCATAGATGGAGATGCGGTCACGCAGGTAGGCTGGTCCCAAACCGTTCAGGGCTTTG